TTTATAAAACCATTACTGACAAGATCTACACAAGATGACCTTTCACCTTTCCACCATGAAGACCAGAGGGGATTATGAGGCTCCACCCCTCCCTGAGGATCTGTAAGCACTGAATGGTTGCTGAGAGAGGGAGAAACATTTTTTTCTCAGTGGTGTGGCCAAGTTGCCCATGTGCCTGTAAGTAACTTTAACTAAACTAATTGGAGGACACACTCATATGCTTGCGCGCGCGCGCGCGCACACACACACACACACACACACACACACACACACACACACACACACTTTGCTGACCCCTACATTAGGCTATATTCCTTTCTCTTTTCTTTCTCCTCCTCTTTCTCTTTTCAGGGCTTCAGAAATTCTTTGATGCTAGGTAAATGTTTCCACACTGAGCCACTCCCAGGACCCCACATATAATTCTTAGATTATGACACTTAGCCTTCAGTGGGTGTCTTAGGCTCCTCACTGACTGCCAGCCTGCTCTGATCTGCCCCCAACTCTGCACTGCAAATGGCATCCCTTGACAGCACTATTGCCCAGGTTGTGGCCAATTCCTCTCTTCATTTTATTCCCTACTTACTATTTCTCCAACCTATTTTGTCCCATTTTCTCTTGACTTCTAGGCCACCACTACCTTCTGTGGATCTGTTCCTACCTCCCATGGTTCTCTTTATCCTCCTTGGCAAGATCTACCTCTGCCTCCAGACTGGAGTTACTTTCTCTCTTCCTCCCTATCGACCGTTGCTCTGCTACCCTCTGGACACATCCTTTGTGGACAGTTCTCTTCTCCACTTGACTTTAAACGCTACCTCTACAAACAGTTGCAAATCTGTCACCCTAGCCTTGACCTCACTGCTGGCCACCAAGCCTCTACATTTGACTGTCATCTTTCAGCTTCGCACTTGGAAACCTGACATCTGTTTTAAAGCTTTCTCTCTAGACTGTTTCTCTTTCAGACTTCCTTACTGATAGTCTTAGTTTTCTGCCTTTCTTTGGTTCATAAACACAGCAGTAGCACCTGTCTGTCCTCCCTGCAGAATATATAATGAATCTTTTCTCCACATCCACTGCCACCCACGTAAGTCAAGCCATCAAGAACGTTCATCATCTTCAAATCTCAGCCCCAATCCCACTTCCTCTCTCTACCCTCACTGCCTGCAACCACCACAGTGAGACTTTCTGATAGAATATTGCAGCTGCTCCTGTACCCTGCTGGTCATTTTCCACACAGTTGGCAGATGATGGACTCGGAAGAGAAATTCCATCAGGTTGCTTGCTGCTCACCGATACCAGGGCTTTTCATCAGTTATTCTTAGAAGAAATCCTCATGACCCACATGGTCCCCATGTTCTAGCCCATGCCTCCTCTTTAACTCCATTGCCACCATCCTCTCCCTCAACATTCTGCTTCTGCCTTCTTTACCTGTTCCTTGAGCACGCCAAGCGACTCCCAGCTTCAAGGCTGGCCTTTGCATCTGCTGTTTCTTCCTGGTGAAGCTCCCTCCTCCTGGTGCTCTGCATCTCTGAGCATCTTCCAGGGGTGTCGTTTCAATGACCTGATAGGCTTGAAGGTATTTGCTTTCACATCCTCTGTTCAGTGACACTTTGAGGAGTTAGAAGGCTCTAGTATCTGAGTTAGAGTTCTCTTGTACTTTGAAAATGCTGACCTTTTGCCACTAGCAA